GTCCCTGCACCAAGCCCAGACTCCTGGAATATTATATTCATAAAGAAGTGCAAAACGGCACTATCATAGGCTGTAAACATCGTTTGGAGACGGAGCCTTGATACTGGGGTCATCCCAAGACGTACTTAAAACAGCGGGGATTGCGCCATTTCACAAAGGTAGTAAAGCAGATGCAAGCAATTACATAACATTAGCTCTAACTTCACACACTACAAAAATCATTGAAAAGTGCTAAGAAGTATGATTACAAATCACATGGCATCGTAACATCACCATAGCCCTGGGCAACATAGGTTCAGAACAGGGCGCTCCTGCCTCTCTCAATTGCCAGATCACTATGGCACAGCCTTAGGTGCCATGGAAAACCAGCAAAACGCAGATGTATTATACACAGACTTTACAAGGGCTTTTGACAAATGTGACAATGGTGTTATTGCGCGCAAAAAAGAATTACCGACAAAGCAGGGAGACGGATCTTCAACCTCGTAACGAACTTAACTCTGTGTGTAATAGTCAAGACGGTAAAATCTTGATCATCTACTGTGAAAAGCTCAATCCCCCATGGTCGAGCCTCGGTCCTGCCGGGCTCGGGAGTAGAACTACTCTCGAAATCCTCTCCAGGTAAGGTACCGAACTTGCTTCGGTAATTTTAATCACACTAATATCAGACACAGACAAATATACAAACTACAGCACTGTGTCATTTGCAGATGACACTAGGGTTTTCCTGCTAGTAGACAGTATAGAGGACACGGCAAACCTCAAATCGGATGAAAATCGGGTCTTTCAATAGGCCACAGATAATATGATGTTTAATGAAAATAAGTTCCAAGTCCTGAACTATGCAAAAAACGAAAATGTAAAAACGGAATCCATATATAAAACGGAATCAAATCATACGATAGAACGAAAAAACTATGTAAAGGATCTAGGAGTAATTATATTAGAAAACCTTAATTTTACAGAACACCATAAAGTAGCTGTCACGGCTGTAAGAAAAATTACAGGTTGGATAACAAGGACCTTGCAAACAAGGGATGGCACATCAATGATACTTTTCAAGACACTAGTGCTCTCTAGGGTGGAATATTACTGCATTCTTAACAGCCTCAGAGCCGGCGCCCCATAGTGGACTGCACCCTGGGTATGTTCATAATGTACACCACAGTGGTCATTGCCTGTTTAACATGCCAGTATAAGTTAAAATATATTTAGTTGTGCAACAAGTTAATTGTAGTTGCAACAGCAATGACTGTTTGAAATGTCGAGGCCTCCTTTTAACAATCACAAAATTCGCATGTATATGTTATCTTGTATAATAAAGGTTTCGTGGCCAAACAATATTTTATAATGTATATATTATTCCATTCCTAATGTACTGACCGCCATAATTGAGTGTGTACCGCGCTACCCCCGTGCATACATTTTGGGATAATATATAACTTGTGGCGGCTCTCTGGCTGCCCACAGGGTGGGTTAACCTTTGGGTTATTATTAGGTAGTCTTGCTCAACTGTTTCTGGCAGGATTAGGAACGAGCGTTATTTGTTGAAAGTTTCTTTAAATAATAAAGAAAAATGTTGTTTGGTGCTGAAACATATGGAAGGGGGGAGGGGAGGGTAGGTGGTGTCAGGTGTGGGTACTAATGACATGTCAGTAAGCATAGCACTGTAAGACTGTGGTGCTCGTGATGACGCCTCTTGCGGTGATGTAACCGCTCTGGTCATAAGAACCAGCAGCAGCCCACAAACTGCACTAAACGTTACAGGCGCATCAGGCCATTTAGCGGCTCTCACCGAAAACTACGGAAGTTTTAATTGGATGACTAATGCAAATAATTTACGTGTATTACAGTCGTCTAATTTTTTACAGCTACTAATTAATGCTGTTACTCTGAGGTTACCTTGCGATGATTTCGGGGCTCAACGTCCCCGCGGCCCGGTCCTCGACCAGACCTCCTGGTTGCTTAAGAACAATTAGGTTGAATAGTTGTTTTCTATATATTTTAATTAAACCAAGAATGGCGTTAGATCAAAGGTAAAGAGTGCAAGTGAGGCGGTAGAGGGCAGCAGGTGGGGGGGGGGGGATGGGATAGAGGTGTGCTTCTGACACCTGATCAACTAGGCTGTGACATACGTCAGGCTGTTAGCAGCCGCGTTTAACAGCCTGGTTGATCAGTCCAGGAAGCCTGTTCAGTGACCGGGCCGCGGGGAACCTTGACTCCAGGAATCGTCGCGAGGTAACGGCAAGGTGTGTTTACTGTGAGTGCCATCTAGCTCTTGGGCCCCGCCTTCCAAATATTGCATCTGTTGCCTCAACATTTACTGTCGTTGTAGTTCTCGAGGGAGAACTTCACTTCTCCTTTGTGTTCTCCATTCGTCTTATCACCCACACTGAATAACAGTATATCCTACGTTTATCGACTAATTTCTGCCGACAATTTCAAAGTGTTACCCCGTGTGTTGTGCCTTTATTGACTTGTTCTCACTCTGCCCCAACTCCACTCTTATTATCTCAGCTACTAGTAGAAAATGTATAGAACTATTTCATTCTGGGGAAATATATAATTTGAACATTTTTACCATTCTGGTGAATGGTAATTACCAGGGTGGTGATACATGCAGGACTGAGATGACGTAAACTGTGTGTGTAATGTTCTGAATATTTGTTTTAAAACTGCTACCCTTATGTTTGGTAGTTTTACAAGTACTGCTGCTGGCATATTCCTCTGCTCCGCTCGTATTAATGCTGGCGTTCTCTTACAGTAACCTTTCACGTAAGAATGTAAGTGGATATCTTCTGGCATCTTATCCACCACCCTTAATTTCTTGATTTAACTTGTTGGGATTGAACGCGTCTGATTAAGGAACATAATTGTCGATTGTTTAAGCCTTTCTGTAGTATCGCTCAATATTTTTCAATAGTTAACGTTCTCTTCAGTTTCGCATCATGTGCAGACAATGTCACGCAAGACTGTCCTCCATCTTGACTTATCCAAGTCTCACAAATTCAGACTTCTGTCAGGTACTCTAAACCAGACCAGTGCTTCCCAAATTATTAAAGCCTGGTGCGTGTGTCTGATTTTTATAGGGAAACTTTCAATGGCATCTTGACAGTTTTAAGATGATAAACTCGGACGGACCCTTGTTATGTTTTAAAGCCTGGTCGACGACCGGGCCGCGGGGACGCTAAGGCCCGAAAACACCTCACGGTAACACCTCAAGATATGGTGTTGGCTGGTAAATGGCCAGGTACCTGAGGCTAGACCAACCCTCTCTGAACTCTGGCAAATGTGGTCACTTGTCAAGTGTCTTCTCTGGGTGTGTCTCGGACTGTTTCTCGGTTATTGTCTGCGTAACATAATGTTGCTCAAGAGTGGGTAGTTTCTGGAGAGCGGCCAGAAAATAGTGTGGTGACATCTAGGTTGGTGTGGTAGCTACCCTCTTACCCGCCCCCGCCAGTTTTTGTTTTTCCATCTGAAAAAAAACCGGGCAGGTATGCAGAAAATAGTTTGCTTTAATTGGTTTAAAATAGTTTGCTTTAATTTGGGTCAACATAGTTAGTTCTGTAATAATTTCCCTGTGTATTTTAATGTTTTGATACAAATTCTTAAAACCCAGGTTGCGGGTTGGGTTTTAATAATTAGTTTTTTCTTGTGTGGTTGACAAACGTAGGAGGTTGTGAAGGGGCTGAGGAGCATGGTGGAGTAACAATGGACAACATGGTAACATGAAATAGAGGGAATGCAGAGAACATTTACGATATACATAGACGCGATAAAGCACCTAAATTATTGGGATCGTCTCAAAGTTCTCCGAATGTACTCACTAGAAAGGAGACGAGAGAGATCAAATAATATACACGTGGAAAATACTGGAGGTCCAGGTCCCAAATCTACATAGATTTGTAAGCAACATATTGAGTGAACGATATGGAAAAAAATGCAGAACAGAACCAGTGAAGAGCAGAGGTGCCATAGGCACCATCAGAGAACACTGTATAAACATCAGAGGTCCGCGGTTGTTCAACATCCTCCCAGCGAGCATAAGAAATATTGCCGGAACAACCGTGGACATCTTCAAGAGAAAACTAGATAGTTTTCTCAAAGGATTTTGATTGATTTGATTGTTGCCGCCAAAGGCGGCTAACTTATTGTGCACCCCATACTCATCCTTTGAGCGGTAGCGCAAAAGCATTACAGAGAGCACAAAAGGTCTTTATCAGACCTCATCTTAGATTATTACATATACAATTTCGTCTATCCTTCACACCTTATAGTTACAATGTCAACTAGTTAAAGTGCTATTTCAAGAGCTATATATTTACAGTAAGTCATCATACATTAATGGTAGGCCTTATCGCTAATACATAATAGTTTGACCAGTGGCGATATTACAGTCATAGGGGAGCTTCTGTTTATTGTTAGTCATCACAATACACTACGTGTTTCTGAATCTCATATGTCGTTCATCTACTGGAAGCGAAATGTGGAGACAGTGCAAGGATCTTAGGTAATTTATCCATGGTAATAAGATATGTTGCCATATTATACAGTGAGAGCTTAGATTTATCTCTAAATGGCTCAATTTTACTACATTCAAAGATATAGTGTTCAGTATAGCGTCAATATTCTCCAAGGAGTGCCGGACCAACCGGGCTGTGGTGGGTATGGGGGCCTGCGGGCCGCTCCAATCAACAGCCTGGTGGACCAAGCTCTTGCAAGTCGAGCCTGGCCTCGGGCCGGGCTTGGAGTAGAACAACTCCCAGAACCCCATCAAGCAGGTATCAAGCAGCAGGCTACTAGGCTACGTCCAGGCTACTAGGGCCCTCAACACTTTACAGATTCACACATACAGATTTACATAATCACACTTCTAATAATACTTTTCACACTATTTAGTCTATTTAGAGCGCAGATGTGTGTAATAGTGTGAGAGCGTGCGTGAAATGAGTTCCATCATTGTGATATTCGGGAAATCAAATTTGGTTTTTGTGTTTCAGGGTGAGGATGGCGTGGGCGGCATGTCTAGCACAGGGGGCGGCGGGGGCAGTGGATCATCGTCGTCATCAGTGCGGGGCTCCTCCTCCCGCTCTAGGACCGAGGAAATCGGGAAGTATCGTCTTCTCAAAACCATCGGCAAAGGCAACTTCGCCAAGGTGAAGCTCGCCAAACATGTCCCCACCGGCAAGGAGGTGAGTACCAGTGCTTAACTTAACTCCTATTATCTCCACTATACTCCTGGAGGCCCCACTCAATTGGAACCAATCTTCTAATGTGTACAAATTGTAGAGCTCTTGACCTCAATTGCTTATGCTGACAGCCGAGAAGACACTACACAAGTGTGTGATGCCTTTTTAAAAAGCACGAGTTTCGTGTCATATTTGTACAAGACGTGCATGTTACTGCTACAGATATTGACGCCCTCCCTCACTGTCTTCCCTCTCGCCTCTCTTCTCATTCTCTTTCCCCATCTTTCTCTTCCACACCATTCCGACTGTAAAGGGCAGTATTAGTTAATAAGCTACAAAAAAAAATAAAAAATTAGCCGTATCAGCCTGGCTGCAATGGCAATGTGGGTCTTGGGACTAGGGAGACAGACCCCGTGACAGACCAGGTAATCACTAGGCTAGCGACAAGATCACCTTCTGCTATCTACGTGGATGGGGCAAACACTCTCAAGTGAAGCTTGGCCTCGGGTCGGGCTTGGGGAGAACAGCTACTCCCAGAACCCCATCAACCAGGGGGGGGGGGGTTCTGAGAGTTCTTTAACTCCCTTTTAGTTTCTTTTCTTTAGGTGGTAGAGGTACTTGGAATCAAGGTAGAACATATAAATTATTCTTCTAATAAATAAACCGCCGGATGCAACAGTTGAGGAATTCATAGAGCAGATACACAAAATAGAGAATATCCTTGATAATCTAGCAAATTCAGTATCATATATTATCTCCCTTGGATACTTCAATTTACCCAGTTTTAAATTTAAAATGGAGAGTAATAAACAATAGCATTATGGCAGGAAATCAACCTGGAAATAACTAACCACAGGTCAGAGAACTACTGAGATTCTGGGACGCATTCTTGCTCAATCAGCAGATTACAGAACCAACTAGGAACGAATACACGCTGGCCCTGATATTCGCAAAAATGAGCTAATCCGAGACATCACAATCTCGGATACTACATGCTCAGACCACGAGCTCGTTGAAGGGCAAACTAACATCAATAACGGTAGTGGGTCCAAGAGACCCAACAAGCGAGAAGGGTTATTCACTCAATTCAATTTCAACAATAAGAGGATCGACTGGGGAAAAATATAGGCCTTGCAAACATTCAATGGGAAACTGTCTTAAGCGACAAAACTCCCACACAGGAAATAGCGCAACTGACATCTAAAGCATACAAGATCTGCATGAAGCACGGGCCTGTGAGGAGGGTCAGAAACAGGACCGCTCTAGAAAGAGAACACAGACGACTGGACATAAGGAAAAATGTCACGGAAATACTTAGACACGACTATCACAAGAAAGGAAAATAAATTTAAATAGGGAGATTGAAGAAATAGAGCAGACGTTGAAGCGATCATACGAGTCTGAAGAAATGGAATTGGAACAGAAAGCTATACAAGAGAGAAAATCCAAAATATTTTTTCACACATGCAAAATAAAAGTGCAAACCTCCACCGGTATTGGACCTTTACTTCCAATTGAAGGTTGAGGGTTTGTGCATAGAGGACAAAAAATAATTGGGGAAATTCTAAGAAGCCAGTATGAGGCTATGTTTACCACACTAATAAACAACATGAAGGTTTAAGTTCCAGACAGCTTCTTTATGAATCACATCAAAGCTACATGTAATGTAACCGATATTAACACAAACTCAGACGACTTTGAAAGAGAAATTGACAACATGCCTATGCACTCAGCACCTGGGCCTGATTCGTGGAATTTAACATTCATAAATAAATGTAAAGTACCAGTAGTGTGAGCGCTCAGTGTAATGATGAGAGAGCCTGGATACAGGGGAGATACCAGCAGCACTTAACTCTGCAGATATATTACTTCTGCACAAGGATTGTAGTAAAGCTTTGGTAAAAAATTATAGACCAGTTGCACTAACATCACCCACAAGTTTTCTAAGGAGTGATTAGGAATCGATAAAGTTTTATGGAAAATAATGAACTACACAACCCAAGACAACATAGATTTAGAACGGGAAGATCCTGTCTATCACAGTTACTCAACCACTACGACAAAATCACAAACGCCTTAGAAGAAAATAAAAATGCAGATGTTGTATACAGAAACTTTGCAGATATTCGACAAGCGTTGACCATTCGACAAGCTTTGGGGAGCCGGTCGACCGAGCGGACAGCACACTGGAATTGTGATCCTGTGGTCCCGGGTTCAATCCCGGGCGCCGGCGAGAAACAATGGGCAGAGTTTCTTTCACCCTATGCCCCTGTTACCTAGCAGTAAAATAGGTACATGGGTGTTAGTCAGCTGTCACGGGCTGCTTCCTGGGGGTGGAGGCCTGGTCGAGGACCGGGCCGCGGGGCCACTAAAGCCCCGAAATCATCTCAAGATAACCTCAAGATAAGAAGATGGAGTGATAGCCCACACAATGAGATCTATATGAATAACGGGCAAAGTGTGAGGCGTTGTATTTTCAACTTTGTCGAACAGAATGCAGAGTGACGGTTAATCAAATAAGAGCAAGTCCAAGTGCAGTAAAAAGCTCTGTACCCCAGGGCACAGTCCTTGCACCGCTGCTATTTCTCATTCTCATCTCGGATATAGACAAAAATACTAGTCACAGCTTCGTGTCATCCTTTGCAGATATAAAAATCGGCATGAAAAATTCCTCTGGAGAAGACTGAATAACTGCAGGCAGATATTAATATAAAGTCTTCGATTGCGCAAGTGGAAAATATATCGATGTTTAATGGTGACAAGTTCCAGGTACTTAGGTATGGTGGAAACGTGGACCTTAAACGAAACACAAAGTGCAGGACATAATCAGACCTACTCATAGAAGAAAAGCAAAATGTAAAAGATCTGAGAATTATGATGTCTGACGACCTGACATTTATTGAACATAACCGAGCAAATATAGCGGCGGCAATGAAAATGATAATATTATGAGCGTTTAAATACAGAGACCCCACAGCAATGCTAATACTATTTAAATCACTGGTGCTGTCACGTCTTTAGTATTGCTCGGTTCTAGATTACCCTTTCAGAGCAGGAGAGAGTTCTGAATTAGAGGGAATACAGAGAACACATACGGCATGCATAAAAACGATAACACGTCTAAATTATTAGGACCGTCTCAAAATGTACTCTTTAGAAAGGAGACTAGAAAGGTATCAAGTAATATATACATGGAAGATACTTGAAGGCCAGGTCCTAAATTCACACAGTAGAATAACAACATAATTGAACGAAAGATAGGGAAGGGAATGCACAATAGAACCAGTGAAGAGTAGAGGTGCCATAGGCACAATCAGAGAGCACTGTCTGAACATAAGAGGCCCACAGCTGACCAACACCCTCCTAACAAGCATTATAAATATTGCCAGAACAAAGGTGAATGTAATCAAAAGGCACTTAAAATAGTTCTTGCAAGAAGTGCCGGACCAGCCGGACTGTGGTGGATATGTGGGCCTGTGGGCCGCTCCAAGCAACAGCCTGTTGCACCAAGTTATCACAAGTCGAGCCTGGCCTCGGGCCGGGCTTGGGGAGTAGAACAACTCCCAGAAACCTCTCCAGGGTGGAGCATAACACGTATGCTTCAGGTATGGATGACTGTTACCTTTTGATTCAGGGGGTCAATGGCCATGTTAGTATTTGAAGTCATCTTCATCTTTAAGAGCAAACATGGCAGATAAAACGATGTGTCTCCCCCTCTCAATATTATACCAGCAAATATAATAAATATTGTTGGAAATTACATCGTTTTCTATAGAAAAGACATTACATAGTTTCTGTAGAAATTAGCAATAGGAACCCGGCTCTTCTGATATGTGAGCTTGCGGGCTACTAATGCAAGCGTCATTCAATCGCTAGGAAATCTTGGGTGAGCTACGAGACGAGAAAAACTATCGAAATTTGCAACGGGTAAACCATGCATAAACCATAATGAGAACATATTATAATACAACAAAGAACACGTTTGGCATCACCAGTTGTGAAGCAGTTGGAGGCGGCACCGTCTTTATGGTGTCACGTTCCCATCATGAGTGCCACTACCCAATGATGTCTCCTCTTGGGGCCAAATTTTAAATTACCTTTAGCCTAAAGTTATTTTTTTGTATGACCCGCTTACCCACCACTTGTCTGGTTGGCCTGTACTTGACCCCAGCTAGTTCGGGGCGTTAAATTGTAAACAAATCAAAGTTATTATTTAATTTGTAATTATTTAATTTAATACCTGGTTGATGGGGTTCTGGGAGTTCTTCTAGTCCCCAAGCCCGGCCCGAGGCCAGGCTTGACTTCTGAGAGCTCGGTCTACTGGACTGTTGCTTGCAGCTGCCAGCAGGCCCACATACCCACCACAGCCCAGTTGGTCCGGCACTTCTTGAAGAACTATCCAGTTTTCTCTTGACGATGTCCATGGTTGTTCCGGCGATATTTCTTCTGCTCTCTGGGAGGATGTTGAACAACCGGGGACCTCTGATGTTTATACAGTGTTCTCTGATTGTGCCTATGGCACCCTTGTTCTTCACTGGTTCTATTCTGCATTTTCTTTCCATACCATTCACTCCAGTATGTTATCATCTTACTGTGTAGATTTGGGACCTGGCCTTCCAGTATTTTCCACATGTATATTATTGATATAACTCTCGTCTCCTTTCTAGTGAGTACTAATCTTATACTGGCTGGTATTGTGTGTGTGTTGTCCTGGCATTTATCGTTGCATATAGCCACAATTTGCAGTATGTCCTCAAGTTATGGCTGTGGGGGTTAGTCCTTCTCTCTTATCATCCTGGCTAGTTCTGCAAATGTAAAATCCCTCGCCTTCACAGTCCTCCAGTCACATAGCGTTACGTGATGATAAGAGGGGAAGGGTTAGTAGTGCGTGTACCATGTATTTGTACGTGCTTGATGGGGTTGTGGGAGTTCTTCCACTCCCGGAGCCAGGCTTGACGTGTGTGAGCTTGGTCCAACAGGCTGTTGCTTGGTGGGGCCCGCGG